TATTATTGAAAATCAAATTTAAACATTTTATGATTGTGATTTCAAATTAATAATATATATTGATAGTAAGCATTATCAATGATACAATTTATGGTTATGTAATTATGTCAAATTTATAATTCTTAATGTTAAAAAAATAACATATAATACTATATTAAACTCAATAACATAAATATATATTTAATTTGATTCTTAATGTTATTCCATGGATAGACCACGGAGTTAAACCACCAAGGCTAGAACTAACCCTAGAACCAACCTCTACAGGGTAGGTTTCAGGTTCTGTCTTGGACCGAACTGACCCATGCTCTCCCTTATCCCAACACCTCTATTTTTCACCCTTTAATTAGGACTCGTCCATATCCCAAGAATTATTGGGATCTATAATCCTACCTTTTTCTCATCACCCATCTCATGACATCCCACAAACCAAACGAATATATTTCAGAACATTCCACATTTTCCCTGCTTATCATCCCCAAACCAAACGAGCCTTAGAGTCCAAGTCAAAATCTAAGACGATGAGATCAATGGTCAAAGCGTAAAAGCTGAACTAAGCTCATTTCAAATTTCAAGTCAACCACCCTTTCAATTTCTCATATTACAATTTGTATTATTAACCGTTAGCCAACTAAGCTACGTACCTTAATTAGGCAATTGGACAACGATGCATGCATGCATTATGTAATCCTGGCCGACCTGGACCTGGCGCTAAGGAACCAAGTCAAAGCCTGATTATCTATCTATCTATCCACTGGTTTAATTTTTTACCTTCTATGTTGCTTATGGAGAGAGAAAATTTCAACCTTACTAATTAAATTAATTATCTGATTTATTCATATCTTTAATGGCATACAGCTCTACTGGCTTTGGTGTTCAGTGATAACTTTCAATTGAAAAATGTAAAGGAAAAAGATACAATTTTATTGATCTATATATTCTCCATCAAGGACAGAAGGTGATGAGGTAGTTGGAACCGGTGCATGTGAATGTGCTTGTTTTGTCATCATAGGCGTAGCTATAAGCTTGAGGACACTGGTTCTTGAAGAACATGGAATAGTTCGTCGGAGGGCAAGTCGACGGTGAGCCATACGAGCCGGTGCAACAGTACTTTGGATCTTTGAATTTATCGCAAGCGCTCCTACAACCAATTACTTGGCCGTCTGGTGCCGTAAAGCTCAACTCCGAGGGGCAGACTGAGTTAATGTTAGCTGGGCAGCTCACCGCACTGCAATCTGACCCGCCCTGTGGGGCGATGGAGACGGGCAAGTTGTAGCCATCTACGAGGCTAATGTCGTAGAAATCCTTCCCTCCGTTTGTTGCTAGCGTTAGTTCCACTAGGCTGGCCGGTGGAATTGCTCCCGCTCCATTGCATGCAACTTGGCCGGAGCCACAGTCTCCGGTTAGACACTTGAAGCTCCCGCTGTTTGTGGAACAGAATGTTCGACCCCAGAACCTCCCAGACCATGGAGCTGAGATAACGATGGATGATGATGCTCTGCTTACAAGCTCGAACCCCGTCGAAGGAGCTGAACCCTGACCGGTCAATACGCCTGGCCAGACGGGGTATGGACAGTTGTTTTTGAAAGTAAATGTGGTTGATTGTGAGCCTGAAATCAACGAGATATGAATAGATTCCATCGTTATTTAATTCCTACTGTAACTACGTATCTGGTAATGGAAAATAAAGAATTAAAAGGTTTAATTAGAACCACAAACCTGAGACGAGGAAAGATAGAAAAAGGAAAATGATGATCAGTCTTCTTGCTTCCATCTCTGCCTCTCTGGGTGTTTCGAATGAAATGAACTTCTCTGTTTGGAACTTCTATATAGAGGGCCTATTTATAGATTTCAATTCGCTGACAATTTAGGTTACGTAAGGATAATTAAGCTTCAGGTTGTCTGTGCTTTTAATTTAAAGCCCAAAAGCACGTACAAAGCCATATTTTTAGGCTTAGCTTTGTGCTTTGGGGCTTTCTAAAAGCAACTCTAACCCAACGGTCAAAATACTTCTTGATCACTCATTTTTGTTTCTCAATGCCCAGAGCTATAATAAATGCCTATTCAAACGGAGCCTTACTTATTTATTATCAGAGAACAATCAACTTTGATGAATTTAGTAGAAAATAGAAAGAGCTTATCTATGATCTGTATGAGCAATTAAGACATTAGGTTTTTTATCTTGTCTATTTTCCACACTAATATGCATGATACATTGGATTCTATGCAACAATTGGCTTTGGATAACAAGGAAAGAAATCAAAATGCTAAGGGGATATTTTTTTAATGGCTAGAGTGGCTGAATTGAATGGCTTATTGAAGAGACTTTAAAGAGTTCATAACCAACTTATTCACTAAGACAAATGCCATGCATTCAGCAGCTCAAACCTTTTCATGCATTTGTTATAAAACGGCCCCTAGAAGATTATTAGAGATCCAATTGCTTCAAATGTAATCCCTACAAAGAAGAACAGCAATAAAGAGCAATAAAAACAGAAAAGTAATAAAACAAAAGACAAAGTGAGATCGAATAATCCGGCTTCCCCTTTTTTCTACCAAAAAAAAAAACACTTTGCCAAAATCCAATAACATTTTGGCCAAGAATCACTTCCAAAGACACATAGCAAGAAACTATTCACTTGTGTAATTGCTTGGTGGCCGGGTGGGGTAGTAGAAGACATACAGGTTGCCTAGCTAGCTACCATCTCACTATTTTTGGGAATTACAGATAATTTTTCTCTCACATTTATTTCTGTTGGACTGTTGCTTTTTTTTTTTTTTTACAACTAAAAAGATCAGATGCATGCATGTCAAGGGAAGTGTGAATTCCTTCCTTTGTCTGTTTTTCATTTATTACCAATAAAAAAAGACAAAAAATGGTTAATTAAGAGCTTTGACCCTTACATACTAAAATAGTATATGCATAAATGCATGCAAATTGTAGCCCTGAAATCATATGCTTTGGGTAATAATTAATCTTCTCAATTCTTTTTCTTACATGGCTTACACCTACCGTGTGTCTGGGGACTAGAGGTGTCAATTGGACTGAATTTAGTCCAACATGATCCAGTCCAATGTGAGTCTACTTACAAATGGGCTACATCTAATCAAGTCCTAATCCAATACAAATTAAATCCAATCCAATCCATTAAAATGTAAATGGATTGGACTGGATCCAATCCAAATCGGATGAAATATAAAAAATTATATAAAAAAATAGAACATATAAAAACTCCGTAGAAGAGTTTTTATAAAAGTATTTTTTTATGAGTACTTTTACAAAAGTACTTTCGTAGAAGTGTTTTTATAAAGTATTTTTATAAAAGCATTTTCACAGAAGTGTTTTTACAAAAGTGCTTTTGTAAAAGTACTTTTCATAAAATTACTTTTATAAAAGTGCTTTCRTAAAAGTACTTTCGTAGAAGTGTTTTTGTAAAAGTACTTTTCATAAAATTACTTTTATAAAAATGCTTTTGTAAAAGTGTTTTCGTAAAAGTGTTTTTAAAAAAGTACTTTCATAAAAGTAATTTTATGTCGGCTCAGTTTTGAATAGTTTCAAATTGGATAAGGGTTTGGCCTCATGATTGGATTATTAGAAATTTGGTTTAGGTCCAATTCAGATCAATAAGAATATGAACCAATTTATTTTGAATTGGCCCAACCCAATAATTATAATGGATCGTCTAAATCTGATTTGGTAAGGTTTGGATTGGATTAGATCCAATTCAAAACTGGTCAATTGACTCCCCTATCTGGGACCCACCTGTAATATATAGCTTAGGGACCCATGGCTTGTATCCTAGCTAGCTAATTTGTTTGTTTTGTTCTCTAGCTTGGCATGTCAACATGATTTTGATTTGATTAGGTTATGTTTGAATTGGGGTGAAAAAAAAAATGAAGTGAAAATGAAGGACACGTCTGTTTTTTTTTTTATTTTGAAAGGGAGAAATTTGGCCATTGACCAAGAAATCTATGTTTTTTTTTTCAGATTTATGTGGGCATCAGAGAAAAATTATTTTCTCGGGTTTTACTTACCGAGTAAGTGATACCTATTTCCCGAGTGGGTAAATAACTTTCCCACGTAGGGGAAAGTTGCCAATACTTGGATCGGACAAAAATGTCCCTTTTAATAATAGACTTATATGGATAAAATGGTCATTAATTTATTTACTTGGGAAATAAAAGAATATGGATAAATGCATTTATCTTGATAAGTGGAAAACACAAACACTTAACCAAATAAATGCATTTACCTAGATAAATAATTTACCGAAAAGCAAAAAGAGCCTAAGGCTGCGTTTGGAAACGATGCGGATATGTGTGAATGAAAATATGTGGAGTATAAAACAGTTCATATAAATTGCAAAGTTGGGTTAGTTTTGCTTGAAAATTTACCTTCTTACCAAGCAGACTTTTAGCAGTAATGGATGCAAACATGAATTCCAATAAAGCATATGCTTTTTTTTTTATCAAAAGCCCACTTGAATGCAAATTTACTTCTTTTTTATTGATGTACTTTTACATCTTATTATCAATGTAAATATGCATTGGTCTATCATTTGTCAATGCAAAAATGCAATATTGTCAAACACAGGAAAAAGTGAACCAAGTGCAAATTTATCCTGAACCAGGATTTACACTCCATTTGCATTGTTTCCAAACGCAGCTTAAAGGATTCATCACATTCTCCCCATTCCTATTTTGGGTTTTTGTTTGTTTATTTTCAGAATGCATAAACAATTGAATGGGAAGCTGAAGATGCTCTCAGCTCCACACAAACCTCAAATCTGTTTGGAGTTGGTTTCGGGTATGTAGAGGCAACAAGGGCCAAAAGCCGTTGTACCTCAATCGGCTTAATTTACTGTCATCCCCTCTTTCAGACTCAAAAATACAAATTAAGCAGGCAAAACAAACCGAACCCAAATTTGTATATCTCATAGCATATATATACATAACCACTACATCACACGCAAACAAATTAAAATAAAGAGCTAGACAAATTGAAGTTCTTAACCTTCCACGCACCACCCTTCTCGCCTGCACCATGGCACCACCATCGCGCATCCTTCTGCCATTGGCGGTGCTTTTTGTTCTTGTTTTGCCTCATGTGCAGGCCAGATACATCGTCTACAACATAGAGAAAAAGCATGTCGTCCATGAGCCTCATCTCAAAGAATCTCGGCCCGAGTTCAAACCAGGGCCATGGAAATCAGCTCATGCAACCTTCTATGGAGGGGCTGATGCATCAGGGACAATGGGTAACCTTCTGTTTTACGATCAATCCAGACAAACAATAACCTTCTTTTTTCCATAGATCAACCTGCTGCTGGTTTATCTAATTTCAGGGGGAGCTTGTGGCTATGGTGATCTGCGCGCACAAGGCTATGGCGATCACACTGCGGCCTTGAGCACTGCTTTGTTCAAAGACGGATTTGCATGCGGTGCGTGTTATGAGATCAAATGTGTCGACGACGACCAATGGTGCAAACCAGGGCAACCTTCGCTCTTCGTTACAGCTACAAACATTTGCCCACCCAACTACAATCTTCCCAGCGACAATGGAGGATGGTGCAACCCACCACGTGAACATTTTGATATCGCACAGCCTGCATTCCTTCTGATTGCTGAGTACAAATCTGGCATCATTCCCGTTAAATATCGCAGGTTATATAACGACCATTCTCTGTCACTGATTCAAAAATTGTTTAGGATCCCTTTGGTTTGCGGCAATATTCGGATTCCAACTGTTTGGATGGGCAGAATGGGAATCCATTTGTATTTCCGGTGGAATGGCTTTCTCCCATTTGAGGAAATGGCCTTGGAATGAGAACCCATTTTATCGAATTCTGATTCTGATTCTGATTCCAATTATAAATCAAACAGGTCCTTAATTTCCACATAATAAGGCCCTATTGGCTTTTCGGAAAAATTATTTACTTGGGTAAATCCTAAATGTACTTACCCAGTAAACACTGACCGGGGTAAGTACATTTATCCATGTTCATTTTATTTCTTAGATAAATAGTAAAATGACCAATTTAACTGAAAATAAACAATTTTATTTCATTGGCAACTTTTTCTTTAAGAAATGAGAAATGGATATCTTGATGGAACTAAAATCCTATAGACCAACTTAATTTCCCCCTCTCAAAATCCAAACCCTAAATGTAATTAACTGTGAGGTGTTTTTGTAGGGTTTCTTGCAAAAAAAAGGGAGGGATTCGATTCACAATATCAGGGAACCCATATTACAACAAGGTGTTGGTATGGAACGTTGGAGGTGCTGGGGACGTAAAGGAAGTATTGGTGAAGGGTGACAAAGTGGAATGGACGCCAATGAAACGAGACTGGGGCCAGAACTGGATAGCGGACGCCAATTTGGTGGGTCAGTCTCTGACCTTCCGAGTCATCGCAAGCGACGGACGGATATCCACTTCGTGGCACATTGCCCCACCGAGCTGGCAATTCGGCCAGACCTTCGAAGGAAAGAACTTTAAGTATTGAACCAGCTGGACGTACACACCACCTCAACCAGCTTTTGCTTTTCCTTCCAAGCTAGCTCAGATTTGTCTCTAATCTAATGTTTGTTTTAGTTGTTAGATCGCAAAGCTTTTTGCGTCGTATATCTGTTTGTATATACTTGTTTTATGGAGTTATTGATACAAATTAGAAATCAATTTGTAATATAAGTTTTCTTAGAACAGAAACGAGACCGGAATCAGTCCTCACAAAATTGTGCTCACAGCCCATTTTCAGTCATGGAACATTTCCATACTTGTATCCTTTTGTTCATGAGAGATGTTCTCAATGCACGGTTGAGAAGGACTGTGAGAACGGTATGAGCACAATTTTGCAAACAGCAAATCCGATTTTAAAATGAAACCGGATTCAGTCCCCACAAAAATTAGTATATATAGATCTCTTTCCTTGCGTACTTAAAATGGCTTAATACTAGATAAGATGTCATTTTGGTGGTTTTATGATTTTATCTAAACTCCTACATGTCAAAATTTCATTTCAAGATATCTAAAATCCCCTTTTTTCTTGTAGAATGCCGAGGACATTATCTAGGGAAAATTCCTGATTAGTACCATGTACTTTGGGCCTAATGCCACTTTGGTCCCCGGACTTTAAAGTGCAACAATTTAGTACTCAAACTTTTAAAATGTGTCAATTTAGTACCTACCTTTAATCAGCCATTAAGTGGCATTTGAAAAGACACAAATGCCCTTCGAATGTCATCTAATTTTCTTTATCAACCATCCAAACGTTGATAAAAATTGAACAGTCCCAAATCCTTTGTCTCTTTTATTCAAGAAAGTTAATTGGGGTCATCGGAATGCCCATTGAGACGTGACCCCAACTTTCTTAAATAGAAGATGTAAGGATTTGGGACTATTCAATTTTTGTCAATGTTTAGATGGTTGGTAAAGAGAATTAGATGACACTCAAAGGGCATAATATGACACTAATTAGGAATTTTCCCTATTACCTATACATATCCTCTACTTGTGCTTGGTAGATACCAAAATGTTAGAGGTCATAAATAGGGCCCAAGTTGGGCTAACATGTGGATGAACAAGGAAGTGATAACTAGCTGAGCCAAGGATCGCCTGGTGTTTGGAGCTGAACGAGTCGAAGAATGATAAAATGGTGCACTCCCATTCGACCGGTAGGCTAATATGGTGGTACACGTCGTGAATCCCAAATAAGATAGGGAAACATGATGAATGCCTAGGGGTGCTCACGGTTCAGTTAACCAAACCGTGGGCTTATTTTTGAAACCGAATCGGGGTTATCGATTTTTGAAAAACCGGTAACCAAAACTGAGCCAAAGTCGATTGACTAACCGGTTGATCGGTTTGGTTCATTGATTCATCGTTTTTTTATTATTTGCAATATATATTATAAAAATATAAGAAAACACTAGAAATATATATATAAATTATATTTTAAATAATAAATAATATTTTATATATTATTAATATATATATATTTATCTATATAATGCATATTTATTAATTTATAATGTATAAAAAATATAGAATATATATAATATAAATATATGTATACTGGTCGATTCAGTTAACCGACAGTTTTTTATTTTAGTTAATTGAAACCAAACCGATACCTTTGATTTTTTTAAAATACTGAACCGAAGTCAATTTTTCGATCGATTTGGTTTTTTTATTTTTCTTGCTCACCCCTATGAATGCCGACTAAGACCATCCAACCGCCAAGAAAGTTGGTGCCAACATCGCCTAGTTCCTTGTCCTGCTCTCCACAAAACATAGGATGAATGCTCCTAATGGCTCGAATAGGGGTCATCTCGGAACTTGACACATGTCCACAAACAAGGAGCACAATGGATGAATGGAACTCTTTGGATCCTATATAAGGGCATGCCACCGAAGGTGAGATCTTCTTTACTCTTTAGCTACCAAAACTACTCAAACTCTCTTGCTCTTTAAGCTCTTCAACTCCTTTAGTTAAGTCCAGCTCATCTTAATCAGTCGGTCTAGTGATCACTCATTCGCTCTTATTGACTTAAGCATCAAAGTACTCCTCCCGGCCCGATGTACCATCTCGGGGCCTCTAACCTTTGTGTGCACAAGTTGTTGAATCATCACAACTTGTTCAATTCATCAGGATAATTCCTCTACTACTTACTTGTCCATCAGCTCAAACTGTAAATTGATTTAACCAAATTGGTTAAAGGTAGATCCAAATTTGATTTATTTATATTTAGATTCAAATCTAATTTTATTTATATATCATGAACAAAGTGTGTGATTGAAAATTACTTTTTGAAGCTTGAACTTTTGACTCTTTAATAAAAACATAATATTTAAAACCAAATTTAAATAAGTAGGATATGTATAGCAATAAAAACATAACATCACCTTTAGGGGTGCAATTTTTGGATGAATTTGGGTGGGCTGATTCAAGCCGTCGATCAATCCAGCCCTTAATTGCATGGGATAGGGAATTTTTTTTTTTAATACTTTTGGGGCTGAGTCTAACCCTAACCATTAGTTAACCCAAACTTAAACCTATTATACACGTACATGAAAATACATATACACACATACGCACACAATATGCATGTCAAATTTTAATGTGGACTGATTGACTAATCCAAACCCAAACCCAACTATGGCAGATTTAAGTGCAAGCTGGGCTTAGATTTGCACCAGTGCAAATAAAATTCACACAGATTATGTGGGCTATTTAGAAAAGCCTCAATGCTCTATACTTTCAACAAAAGCCTTTCCATCCAACTCAAATCTTATATTATCTGGATGCCTGTTTTGACTTTTTTAAATCATCTCTACTGGTAGTCTCGGTTCCTGTTCATAATGATCTTCCAATAGTCACTCCATCTAATTGAATGCCTCCACCGAATTGGGTAAAGTTGAATGTCGATGGTACCAGTTGGTAGCTCCTCTTCTAGTGCTGGTTTTATCATTAAAAACGGGTGATTTGGTTTATGCTAGAGCTATTCCTTTAGCAGCCTGATCATCATTGGAAGTTGAAGCAAAGGCCATGTATAAGGGGCTTCTTTTCTCTTTGGAAATAGGTTTTTGAAGACGATTATCAAATCATTTGTTCTCTTCTATTGGACAGGTTGCAAACCCCTCCTTACTATTGATTAGGGGTGTTCATAAAAAATCGAAAAAGCCAATCCAAATTAAGAAAAATGAACTGAAAGATCTGGATTAACTGAATGATTTAATATTTTTGAAAAATCAAGGATCGATTCAGTTTTTGGTTAACCTAAAAAATTGGTGGTTAATCGAATAAATCGGTATAAATACTAATATATATATATATATATGTGTGTGTGTGTGTGTGTGTGTGTGTGTATACACATTTATTTATAAAACATATATGATAAATATAAAAATCTAAAAAACCGAAGAATTGAACTAGTCAAAAACCGAGAATGTGCTATACATTCTCTAGCACATTTTGCTTGACCAATGAAATTTGTTTGTAGAACTTCAAACTCAGTAGCTCACAAATTGGCTTATAATGCATGCAAGTAGGGGTGCCAATGGTTTAGGTTGGACATGGGTTTGTTGCAACCCTAACCCGACCCGACAGGAGTTAAAAATACATGATTTCTAAACACGACTTGACCCTATAAGAGCCAACCCGATACCGACCTGACTCGGCTTGTAGCATTTCAAATGTATTTTTTAACACATTTTAAATACCTAAAATCCATTAATTTAAATTAGGAAATTGTTTTATAAATTCTAAGGTGTCACTTTTTCCATTAAAAAAAAAAGAAGAAAACCAAAACCAACATGTAAATAAGTCATAAACTTTAAGGTTATAGAGTTAGAAGTGAATAAGTTGTAGGGTATCATGACCCAATGGGGTGGGTCAGCCAAAACCTGAACCCGACTCGGGTCAATAAATCAAAACCCTAACCCGACCCTAAAGCCAAATATACCTCAAAAAAGATCAATGAAATTTGCCTTTGGTCTTAAAAATAAAAGGACAAATTTCTTAAGTTATCCTTATGGTTTGGCTAATTGACTAACTTTGCCCTTACTTTTTACATATTGTCTTAGGGTACTCTTAAGTTTTTTGACAATTGTCTAAAACCTCATTGCCATTAATTTCCATTAACGGAAAGACGAAACAAGGCTATTTTACCCATTAATCGCTTTCAAATTTTCAAAATGAAACAAGAAAAATGGGGAAAGAGAGAGAGAGAATACAGGTCGAGAGATCAACAATGACAAAATGTCTATTTTTCCCTTATTATAAATTTAAAGGGGTAGAATGCTTTACAGACCCATTTTCTTCCAACTTTCTTTTCACTACCAAGAGTGAATAATTTTTGCATTTAAATATGGCACAAGTAGGTAAGAATTCATGAAGTACAGAAATTATCGATGCAATGTGGGTTTTTCCTAGAATCACCAGCTCATTTTGTTGAACTCCTATGTTCTTATAAATTGTACTAGATTGCTTTTGGACTCGACTTTTGTTGTAGGTTTCACCAGATCACCATTGGACTAAAAAAAACATTTATTAGCATCCTTCAAATGCCCTGTTGCTCCCACGACTAGTCCAAATTCTAATAGCTGGGGTGCCACCCCATTCTGCCATTTTTCTTAGGATAGACTCATCGGGTTTTATAGTGAGTGAAAACTATAGGTTAACTGAAGAACATAGAGTTGATTAGAGAAACAGAGTCCATTCCATTTGAGTTCACTCACGAATCAAAAATCAAATTCTTCATCTCCATCATCATCTTCCTTAATTGGTCATCATGGTAATAGTCAAGATTTAAAATTTCGATATATACGATATGCTCAATATGGGGTGTATCATATCGTATTTTTGAAAAATAGATATGAGATACACATGAAAATTGGGCGTTTTGTCTTTTTTCATACATATCGGACTCATATTGGGAGCGCATTGGGGCGTATCGGTAGCATATTGACAAAAAAGATACGACCAAAAACTAAAAACAATTAAAG